AATGTGGCCTATCAAAGTAACACTCAAAGACTTATCTTCAAGAAAAAGCCTTCAGACTACAAAAGCCACCCTTTTCAGAAATAATAGATTCAACTGATCTGTCAGACATCAAATATCAAAGTAGCAGCACAAGGATGAAAAAGCAAGACAAGGTGATGGCTCCAAAAGAACATTATCACGCCTTCATATCTGATTCCAAAGTAAAACAGATTGACAAAATGATAAAAAATGCAAAAGAATTATTATAAGGATATTCAAAGAATTATAAAAGAATACAGCTAGTTTAATGAAATTAGGAAATCAATGCTTGGTACTAAATAGAAAGTCAGCAAAGAGAGATCTTTAAAAAGAACCAAAAGGAAAAATTGGGACTTAAGAACTCAATAAGTCAAATAGAAAATATAGTTGAAAGTCTCCACAACAAGCTAGATCAAGCAGAAAATATTTGAACTTGAAGATGGGTCTTTTGAAATATTTTAGAGCAAAAAATGAAGAAAAAACATAGTAAAGACAGTCTCTGAGACCTTTGAGGCAATATTAAATAAAAAACATTAAAATGTTGGGAATTCCTCAGGAAGAAGAAAGGAATAATACTATAGAAAATTATAGTTAATGAAATAATAGCCAACAATTTTCCAAATCTTGGGAAAGATATGAAAAAAGGAAAGTACATGAAGCCTAATAGACATGATATGAAAAGATCCTCACTGTGACATATCACGTCAAAAATGCGAGATGAAGAGAGAATTCTAAAATCTTAAAGAGCAAAGGACCAAGTCACCTTTAAAGAAGCTGCCATTATACTGTCCGCAAAATTTTCAGCAATAATCTTAGAGGCCAAGAGGGAATGTAAGTGTATATTACATCTTTTGGAAGAAAAAAAAAACTGCCTGTCAAGAATTATATACCTTCATATTATCCTTCATAAATGAAGATGTGAAGACTTTCCAAACTGAAAGAAACAAAAACTTACGGAACTCATCACTACCAGACTGGCCTCACAAAAAATTCTTCCGGGATTCCTACATCCAGATGCAGAAGGTAAGACTAAAAAAATTATGTAAACGAATAAAACCAACTAGAAAATGAACAAAGTATATTTAAAGTGAACAAAATAATTTTAGATGCAAATTATGACTTATCAATAATAGCCTTGAATGTAAATGGACTAAATACCCCAATTAAAAAATATAGACTGGTTTAATGAATGAAAAAACAAGACCCAGTGATACACTACCTACAAGAAACTCATCATCAGTTCTCTCTTTCTTTCACACACACACAAAGTGAAAGACCCCAAATCCCATTAAGCTGAGTGGTAAAAATGCCATCTTATATAGATAGGATTAAGTGCTAAAGTGATCATATAAATAAAATCAAGTGTCTGATAATAATAATACTAGAATTAAAAAGGAGAGAATGTTCCAAAATGGGAAGCAGTCCACACAGTTGACTCATAGAATGACAATTGCTTTAAGTAGCACTCTGACCTCAGAATCAGCCCTTAAGGCTTCATGATTTGGCTGAAAAGCCTGTGACAGCATTTCAGGCATTGAAAGCCAAGACACTGTGCCTGCATGAAGGATCTCTGTGAGTGAGACTCCAGTGGAAAGAAGTGGCCATCAAAGAAGGATGTACTTTTCTCAAGAGGGAGGAGAGAACTTCCATTTTGCTTATGGCCTTGTCTAAACACTGATGGAGTTTGTGGATTCAAAAAGCTTCCATAGCTTAAGCAGCTCATGTCAACAGCCTCAGGTGGTCACTGACATAATACATAAGAGTGTTAATTGTTAACTAATTGTGCACTAATTGTGCACTAACTCCCCATGCAGGACCTCTGTCCTCAATAAGTTGTATTGAGAGTTAATTGTAAAACTTGTTCCCAGTTTGTGTGTGAATGTGTGTGTGTGGGGGGGGTGCAAATTGTTGAAATCTTTACTTAGTATAGACTTGGTCTTCTGTGTACAAAGTTAATTGAAAATGAATCTTAATGAAGAATGGTCTGGCAAGGGGAGAGGGAGGAGGTGCAGGGATTAGAGTGTGGGTGGGAGGGCAGGTATGGTGGGAAGAATAACTATATTCCTAAAGTTGTATTTATAAAATTTGTATTCCTTAAAAAATAATTAGATTAAAAAAGAATTGAAAAATTATTTCATTCAACCAAAACTAAAAGATAGCAGGAGTAACTATATTAAATCTAAATACACCCAATGCCTGAATACCCAATTTTATAAAACAAACATTAGAGCTAAAGGGAGAGATAACATGAACACAATAATACTGGGGGATCTCCACACCTTACTTTTATTAATGGCTAAATCATCCAGACAAAAATTCAGCAAAGAAATGTGATCATTAAACTATGCTGTGGACGAAATGGACCAAACAATTTATACAGAATATTCCATGCAACAGCAGCAGAATATATATTCTTTTCATTAGCACATGAAACATTCTCTAGGATTCATCATTTATAAACCACAAAACAAGTCTCAACAGTTTAAAAAATCAAACTCATCTATCTTTTCTGACCACAATGGAACAAAGTAACACCAACAAAAGAAGTTCTAGAAATTATATAAATACATGGAGAATGAACAACATGCATCTGAGTGAAAAATGAGATATTGGAGAAATCAAAGAAAATTTTAAAATTCTCTGAAAAATGGAAATGGAAGGGCTGGCCTAGCCAGCTACACCACATTCTATGATGCCTGCATCCCATATGGGTGCCAGTTCAAGTCCCAGTTGCTCCACTTCTGATCCAGCTTTCTGCTGATGTGCCTGGGAAAGCAGTGGAAAATGGCCCAAGTGCTTGGGCCCATGCAGCCAATTGGAAGATCCAGATGAAGCTCCTGGCATTGGTTTAGCCCAGCTGTAGCCATTAAAACCATTAGGAGAGTGAACCAGCAGATGGAAGAGCTCTCTCTGTCTCTCCCTCTCTGTAACTCTGCCTTTCAAATAAATAAATGGTGCCAAGAAAACAATATATCCAGATATTGAGGGAAGCAACTTATTCCCTGCCTCTCCCCTTATACAAAGAAAAACAAAACAAAACCAAACAAAAAACTCAAAATGGATCGAGGACATAAATGTAAGACCTGAAACTGTGAAACTGATATAGCAAAACATATGTAAAATACTTTATGACCTCAGAATTGGCAATGATTGTTTTTATAAGACCCCAAAGCACAATCAACAAAAGCCAAAATAGACAAATGGGATTTTATCAAATTAAGAAGTTTCCAGATAGCAAAGAAAATAATCAACAGAGTGAAAAGAAACCAACAAAATAACAGAACATATTTGCAAACTCTTCACCAAAGGAACAATAGCCAGAATATATAAATAATACAAACAATAAATCCAATTAAGTAATGGATAACATATCAATAGACATTTCTCAAAAGAAGAAATACAAATGGCCAGCAAACACATGAAAAAACATTCGATATCACTAGCTATCAGAAAAAGGCAAATCAAAACCATGCGATATTGTCTCATTCCAGTTAAAATCACTATTACCAAAAAAAGAAAAGATAAATTCTGACACAGATATAGAGAAAAGGAACCCTTTATCACTGTTGATGGGTATCCATAGTAGAGCCATTATGTAAAATAAGTAAACAGTTTGTTTTAAAGCTACAAATAGACCTATCATTCATACCACTTCTGGGTATATATGTGGAGGAAATGAAACCAGCATAACAAATATGTGCACTACTATGTTTGTTATAGCACTGGTCACTTTAGCCAAGATATGGAATCAACCCAGGTGTCTGTCAGTGGACAAATGAACATAAAATATATTATACCCAATAAAATGCTATTTGGCCATATGAAATAATGAAGTCCTGACATTTGCAGCAAAATAGAGGAAACTAAAGGTCATTATGTTAAACAAAATAAGCCAGAGAAAGACAAATACCACATGTTTTCTCTACATGTGGAAGTTTAAGAAATGTCTATCTTAACTTGGAATAGTGATTATGAGAAAATGGGAAGAGTAGGATAGGAAAGAGAGGGAGGTTAGGTAAAGAGTACCAAAACTCAGAAATAGCAAGTTCAGGTGCTCCACAGCATAGTAGGGGTGACTACACTTCATAGTACTGTATTGCATACTAGGACTGGGTAGAGAACTGGAAGAAAAAAGTTGGTGGGCTCTAAACATAATAACAAGGAAATGGAAAACATTTGATCAATTTACACTGTATACCTGTGAAATATAGTGAAATATTGCACTATACCCAACAAAACTGTACAAGTACTACATGTTAGTTAAAAAATGTTAAAGAATGGAGAGAGGCAGTAACATCAAATAGATCATTTTGTTGTTGTTTAGTTGAAAGATTAGAGATAATTGGAGGTTGTGTCCAGATCAATAACAAGTATTCCTTAAATCTATGATCTTTTTAGGAGCAATGCGGGTAGAATGAACTATAGAGAAATGCAGTAATAGACATGGGTAGATTTGCTACTTCCTATTTCACAAATGTTTTCATTCAACATATGACCACTTAGTAAGGTAAAAACTAATTCTGTTTTACCAGTGAGGAACTGACTGCTTAAGATAATACAGTCAGTAAGGATTAGCCCTGAGAAATCTAGTCTTGTAACTCCACAGATGGATTTTCTCTATTTTCTTTTCTTTCTTTCTTTTATTTGAAAGGCAGAGTTAGAGAGATGGAAGAGAGACAGAGAAAGAGGTCTTTCATCCACTGGTTCACTCCTCACGTGGCCGAACCAGCAGAGCCCAAAGCCAGCAGCCAGAAGCTATTTCTAGGTCTCCCTGGGTTGTCCTCTACTGCTTTTTCAGGTCATTAGCAGGGAGCTGAATCACAAGTGGATCAGCCAGGACTCAAACCAGCGCCCAAATGGGATGCCAGCATCCCAGGCAGCAGCTTAACCTGCTATGCCACAATTTCAGCCCCTATTTTCTTTCTTTCCTTGTAAATTAATCTCTTAACACCTCCCAACCTCTGAGTAGCACTTGTACACACCTATGGAACCTACCACCCAATATCCATTGTCCAGTTCATGCTTGCTTCCACAATAAATTTTCCATTGCTCATTCATAAGATGAATTTGATCTTAAAACATTCAATGTACTGTTAAAATACAAAGGACCCAAAATCCAGTTTCTTCTGTATTGCTTTCAGAGAGAAATGTATTATCCCTTTTCCATGTTATGTATGGATGAGGATAAACACTTAACATACTGCGTAATAAGTAGATGTCTGTGTCTCTCTTTTCATCCATTATCACAGGCATGAGGAAAGCTATGCAGGAGAAAGAATGGTACATGAAGAACTGCTATCATTAGCTTCTTTTTTAGGACATCTGTACAGAATATTAGCTTAAAATATCTGAATTGAGAAGCTATATTTTTTAAGAAAAACTCAGGAGGAAAGAATATGATATAAAAATTAACTTCATTATAATAGAGGAAAATGCAATTTAAATCAACTATCCAATGCTTTTCCAGCTATCATATTAACAAAAGTTTATATTGATAATTTTTGGTGCCAATAAGGCTAAGGGACAAATAGATACTCTGTTGCTCATGTAATTAAAACTTGAGAAATCCTGCTTTTGGTACTTTCCTTTCATATAATTTCTCATTATTATATATGATAAAGATGTTCATCACAACATTGTTTGTTATTTAAACATTGGAAATGCCCAAATATCCGATAACACAAGAATGATGGTATCAGCTATAACATGATTATACTGAGATACACAAAGCCTCAAAAATAATGAGGTACTTTCATATGTATCAACTTGGAAAGAAGCCCATGTCATATTAAGTCAGAAAAAGATATTTTAGAAAAATGTAGATAGATATCATTGTTGTTTTATGAACTCTTTCATGAATACTAACCTCCCACTTTCAGCAACACTTTGCAATCTGATTTCTGTTCCCACATAACAGACATAAGTTTCATCATTTGGAAGACTTATTCTGAAAGAGAGAGAAGCATTCACATTGTGAATCTCTTTATAGAAGAGGGATGTCCTGTTTGCATACCTGGGATTTTGCATTTCCAAATAGTTATTGCCTTTGAGGTAACTATACACATTGTAATTACTGCTATTCTTCCAATAAATTACAACTTCAGGCCTATTTTCAAATAAACAAGGAAGAATTATAGCTTTATCACATCTTCCAATGAGTATTTGCTCATTCATACCACTAAGATAACACTGAAGAAATTTTAAAAGAATGCATCTAAATCAGAGTTGGTGAACTCAAGAGGCTTCCATGGCTTTGGCAACTCATGACAAAAGCTTAGGGTGATTGCTGACACCATAAACAAGAGTGTCAATTTGTTAAGTCAACAACAGGAGTCACTGTGCACTTACTTCCCATGTAGGATTTCTGTCCTTAATGTGTTGTACTATGTGAATCAATAGTATAACTAGTACCCAAACACTACTTAATACTTTGTGTATCTGTGTGGGTGCAAACTGTTGAAATCTTTACTTAATATATACTAAATTGATATTCTGTATATAAAGATAATTGAAAATGAATCTTGATGTGAATGGGATGGGAGAGGGAGCAGGAGATGGGAGAGTTGCGGGTGGGAGGGAAGTTATGCAGGGGAAAAAGCCACTGTAATCCAAAAGCTGTACTTTGGAAATTTATATTTATTAAATAAAAGTTAAAAAAGAATGCATCTAAAATCAAGAGCAGAGAAATTATGAAGAGAAATATTGACAGATGTTTGTCAAACATTACCTAAAAGAAGTTTCATAGGTCAGCAGGCTGCATCAAGAATGTTTGATAGTTTGATTATTAGAAACAAGACATGAAACACTGTGTTTGAGTTTCTTGAATTTCAGTTAAATACATGTTTGATGCAACTGAGAGAATTAGCAACAACCAAAAGAATAGAAACACTCAATTTCTGCCCTCTTGGTTAATAGTCTCATTTCTCCTTACCTGCTACAGTGATGGAAATTATATAAATGGCTTCTGTTCATTTGAATTTCAGGAATACATTTACTTTTTTTTAACATTTAGACAAGGTCATATTCAAAGTGGAAGTTCTCTCCTCCCTTCAGAGAAAGGTACCTCCTTCTTTGTTGGCCCATTCTTTCCAATGGGATCTCACTCACAGAGATCTTTCATTTAGGTTTTGTTTTGTTTTGTTTTTTGTTTGTTTGTTTGTTTTTTGCCAGAGTGTCTTGGCTTTCCATGCCTAAAATACTCTCATGGGCTCTTCAGCCAGATCCAAATGCCTTAAGGACTGATTCTGAGGCCAGAGTGTTGTTTAGGACATCTGCCAGGAATGCATTTACTTTTAACAATTACTATTACAGAAATCAATTGGTTTATCCTATATAGAGCCAGGAAACAGGAAAAGAATGGAATAATTTTAGCTTGATTGAGTCAGAAAAATATCTGGGGTTTTTGGAGAAAATTCTGGGTTCCAGAGTCTGGCAAGGATACTCATCTCTAATAGGAGAAGCCATGGGCAAAAGGAGCCCAAAAGGGGAGCCGGTGCTGTGGCATACTGGGTAAAGTTGCCACCTGCAGTGCCAGCATCCCATATGGGTGCTGGTTTGAGCCCCAGCTGCTCCACTTCTGATCCAGCTCTCTGCTATGGCCTGGGAAAGCGGCAGAAGATGGACCAACTTCTTGTGCCTCTGCACCCATGTGAGAGACCCAGAAGAAGCCCCTGGCTCCTGGCTTCAGATCGGCACAGCTCCGGCCATTGCAGCCAACTGGGTAGTGGTCCAGCGGGTGGAAGACCTCTCTCTCTCTCTCTCTCTCTCTCTCTCTCTCTGCCTCTCCTTCTCTCTCTGTGTAACTCTGACTTTCAAATAAATAAAAAAAAGGAGTCCAAAAGGGAAAATGAAGTGAAGTGATTCATTTACTTTGACTTTAGGATCATTCTTAAGATACAATGACGTAATCAAAATATAGTTAAGGGATGTCATTATGGTTATAAATGCACAAGTCAAATCCTCATTTACTTATTGTTTTACTAACAACTTCAGCAGTTGATTCATCAGTTGATTCATAAAATGATATGAAGTCAACACTTCATATATATCTATTCATATATATAGAGAGGTTTTCACAAAGAAAATACACCAACATGTTTCATATTACTAAAGAGCATATTCCACTCTTTAAGCAGTTCATAAAATATTTTAAATAGGTCTCAAGCCCTCTGTTTGGATTCTAAGATATTAGGACTGGAAGGGATCTTATTTTATGGACCACAGAGTGAAATCCTTTGGGCCATGGCCAAGGCCACCTAAGATCAGAGAACTGGGTGTACATGTGGCTCTGCCAGAATCTTTTCCTCTGCTTTCTCTTCTGGGGCCCTCCTACCCTTCTATGTCCCACATCTCTGCACAGAGCTAGAGGGATATGGTATTATGCTGAGATAAAGACATGGAAAGGTATGAAAGAAAAGGAGTGACTGTTGACCTCCTTTAACTGCTCCACTAAAACCCTCTAATATTTATTTTTTAAAGTGATTTATTTATTTATTTGAGAGGCAGAGTTACAAAGAGAGGGAGAGACAGAGAGGTCTTCCATCCATTGTTTCACTCCCCAAATGGTAGCAATGGTCGGAACTGGGCAGTTCTGAAAGCAGGAGCCAGGAGCCTCTTCCGGGTCTCCCACATGTGTGCAGGGACCCAGGACTTGGGCCATGTTCCACTGCTTTCCCAGGCCATGGATTGGAAGAGGAGCAGCTGGGACATAAACCAACACCCACATTAGATGCCAGCGCCACAGGTGGAGGCTTAGCCTACCAAACCACAGTGCTGGCCCCAACCCTCTAATATTTCATTAGATAATTAAGAATGCCTATCATATGACCTAGCAAAACTGATAAAGCCTTCTGTCAAGGGTCAAATATAAAAAAGTCAAACATACTTGCTTATCTACTGCTTTTGTTATTACATAACTGCTGAGAAAGAGTCTTAATCAGAGTTGGCAGGAGAAAGCATGGTTTTTAACCTTCATAAAGATGTCTAGCCTGTTCCCTATTAGCATTCACTGTGATCATTTAGGAATGTTCACAATAGTATGGCTGGGAAGGAAATACAGGTGGAATATTCTTATCCAAAAGGCATAGGATCAGAGGATTTCAGATTTTTTTTTTTCAGATTTGGAATATTTGCATATGCTCATATGTAATGAGATATCCTGGGGATGGGGCACAAGCTGAAATATGAAATTCACTTGTTTTATTTACATAGATAATATACACATAGCCTGAAGGTAATGTTTTTAATGTGCCTGCATTTTGACCAAGAGTCATCATATGAAGTAGATTAGAATTCTCCACTTGTGTTGTGATATCAGCACTCAAAAGTTTAGGATTTTAGAGCACTTCACATTCCCAGTTAGGGATACTCAATCTGTAGCCATTTTGTGTAGTGTGGTCACATTCCTATCTAATAATATAATAACTAAATTTGTACTACAACCACTCAGAGTGGTTATGAGAATGAGGAAAACAGCAGTACTTTTGCCATGATGTCTTTAGGAGGTTGTGTTATGCTAGCAAAGAGAAGAAAAGGGTTTATGTTGTGGATTTTAAGTGAAAAAAAGGAATTGGGAAGCATTATGATATCTACCTACAGAAGATTAATAAATGTTTGGCACCTACTAAACACAACATTGTAAAAAAATTGATGGAATATAAGTAAATTCTTAGTATATTAATATGGTCCATTTGCAAAAGGCGCACTATTTTCTGCTCATAGGGTAATAGCAGGACCTATTACTAAACATAAACTAGGATGTCAACACTGAAGAGGTTTTGCATATGAAGCAAAGCCTGTTTTATAATAGATTGTGAAAAGTGACTATGTAATTAATAAAGATTTAGAATGTATTCAACAGTGTTTCTCTGGGTTATGGTTATTATTTTTAAAGCTTTCTATAATGGGTGTGTATTACTTTTATAGGGAAATATACTAAACAATTTCAATAGTAAGTATCAATAGAGTTAATTAAGGTGTTATTTATATTCACACATTAAAAATAATCAAAATCCAAAAACATATTCATAAATGTCTAACAATAGTGCAAACCATAAGGCAGCCATTAATGTCATGGTTTACAAAGAGTTTTTCTAAAATTCAAAGGGAGAAAATACAAGCAGATGGAAAAATATGTACACATAAATATAGTTTCAAATGAGTAAAATATGATAAGTTTTCTTGGATGATGAGATCACAGGTAACTTTTACTTTCTAAGAAATATTTTGTTTCAAGAATAGCATATATTTCATTTTTTAAAGATATTATTTATTTATTTGAAAGGCAGAGTTAGAGAGAGAGAGAGAGAGAGAATCTTCCATCTGCTGGTTCACTCCCCAAATGGCCTCAATGACCTGGGGTAGGCAAAGGCAAGGTGCCAGGAGCCAAGAGCTTTTTCTAGGTCTCCCAAGTGGGTGCAGGAGCCCAAGGACTTGGCCATGCTCTACTGCTTTCCCAGGTGCATCAGCAGGGAGTTGGACTGGAAGTGGAGCAGCCAGGACTTGAACTGGTACCCATACAGGATGCTGGCTCTGAAGGCCATGGCTCAAAAATCTGTACCACAGCCCCTGCCCTAATAGCATATATTTGGCTTTAAAAATCCCTAAAAAAAGATATTGAGGAAATTATTTTGGGGCACTACTGTTTTAAGAGTATGTCCTAGATGTTTTTGTAGAATGTGAGATTTTTAGAATGATTATAATGATCCTAAAAAGTAAAAATAGGTACTTTCATTACATCTTATCAAAATAAAACCTAGTTTACAGCTTGATGTTAACTACTAGAAAAAATAATTTAGTATATAACTGCAGAAGAGAGTCTTTTCAAGATGGCTATATACTTTATTATAGGTGTCTGTACAAAAATTAGAAAAAGACCAAAACAAATATTAAACCATAGAAAACGTTTGCAATAAAACATTATCAGTCCAATAGCTTCTCTCTCTGTCCAACCAATAAATATAACATCTGGTAAAGCGAAAACTGTGGTAAAATATTATTATTTATCAAAGTAAGATCTTTATATTTCTTTGTATTATTTTCATAAAAATGAAAGGCTGTATATCACAGTGATTATCTCTGTATAAGAAGATAGTGTTAAACTCATTTTTATATTATGAAGATACATAAGCATGTTATATACTTTTCACCTATGTAAGCCACTGAGAAAATCTTAAACTTAATCATAATCTCTTCAGAAGTTCCACTGTTGGTGGGGATATAAACTAGTAAACCCATTGTGGAACACAGTATGGAGATACCACAGGAATCTGAAAGTAGATATACCATATGACCTAGCTATCCCACTACTGGGAATTTACCCAAATGAAGTGAAATCAGTATATGAAAGAGTTTTCCTGTACTCTCATGTTTATTGCAGCTCAATTCACAATAGCTCAGATATGGAATCAACCCAACTGTCCATCAACCAATCACTGGATAAAGAAATTATGGTATAAATACACTATGGAATACTACTCAAGGGTAAAAAAAATAACTGAGAGCCTATCTTTTGCAACAAAATGTATGCAACTGTAAACTGTTGTACTTAGTGAAATAAGCCAATCCCAAAAAGACAATATCATATGTTTTCCCTGATCTGTGGTACATAATAGAGTACAAAAATTGCAACTTATATCAGTGAAATGGACATTTTGAGAATTGATTGTTGTTTACAGCCCTTTTCTCTACTATTGAGGAATAGTGTTTTCTTCTTACTATTTCTTAAATTCTTTACTTAGTGGTGAGTTAATCTTATAAGGTAAACTGAAACCATGTCATTATAAACATTAAAAAAAAATAAAGGAAGGAGGAGGGAAGACTAGAATGTGGGTGAGAGGGAGGGTAGGGAAGGAAATATCACGATGTTCCTAGATCTGTATATATTAAATGCATGAAATTTGTTCACCTTAAAAATTTTTAGGCCAACGCCGTGGCTCAATAGGCTAATCCTCCACCTAGCGGCGCCAGCACACCGGGTTCTAGTCCCGGTCGGGGTGCCGGATTCCGTCCCGGTTGCCCCTCTTCCAGGCCAGCTCTCTGCTGTGGCCAGGGAGTGCAGTGGAGGATGGCCCAAGTGCTTGGGCCCTGCACCCCATGGGAGACCAGGAGAAGCACCTGGCTCTTGCCTTCGGATCAGCGCGGTGCGCCGGCCGCAGCGCGCCAGCTGTGGCGGCCATTGGAGGGTGAACCAACGGCAAAAGGAAGACCTTTCTCTCTGTCTCTCTCTCTCACTATCCACTCTGCCTGTCAAAAAAAATTTTTTAAAT